CGGGGTCGCAGCTGCCTCTGGAAGGCACCGAGAGGGACAAAATGGCGCAAATGGTCAAATCAAGGTTTTGTAACGCGAGCTGTGCCACAGTGAAATGGCACTAGCCGTACGGCAAAAAACGCCCGCTGGCAGCTGGCAACCCTAGTGGCAACCCCTTGGTTGGGGTGGTACGTACGTACGGCGGCCTAGACGGGGGACGACGGCGGCTGGCGTTCGCGAGGCCCCCGGCCCCGCCCGCCAGGCGCATACGATTTACGAATGCATGTTACACCGTGCGCATGTTCGAGCATGTGCATGTGCATGTGTGCATACGATTAGAGGTTTGATCTCGCCCCCCGCGCGGACCCGGACGGCGACCGCGTGCGGCGAGATGCGCTCATCCGAATTAAGGCGGTCCACCGCACACTACACACGAGCATGGTCCACGCTCTCACTCGATCTCACGACTCACCTCTGCGCTCTGGACAGGATAAGCACGTCCGTCTCATACAAACTTGTCTGCCAAGAACTTGGCCATGACAGCGACTCCGAGAAGGCCAAGGGCCGCCGCAGCCCATGTTATTGGCGCGCGGATCGCCGTGCGTAGCTTCTCCCCGGCGAGGATGAAGGTGACCGAGGGCACGATGAGGAAAATAAGGTCCCCAGAAGTCGAGCCGAGAAAGTCGACGACGGTGCCAAGGTCGGAGACGAACAGTGCGATTCCGACGACGACAGAAACGTACGCAAGCACGGCGACGCGGTCGAGGGTGGACGTGATGAAGAGCGAGTCCCCGAGCGCTTCGGTCTCGGGCGCCTCCTTGAGCGAGATTACCGTGCTAAAGGTTGCGAGCGTCGCAGGGAGGTTGGTGCTGAGCGAGCTGCTAATCGTCATTTTGATGCTGCGCTGCGGCCCGATGCGCTCCTCCTTCCGCTTCGTGCACATCTCGATCACTGAGACGACGTTGAGGCGAGACGGGTAGGCCTGCAACGGCACGGTGCTAAGCACGGCGACGGCGAGCGCGACTCTCACGGCGGCAACCGCAACAGAATCCGCCGGGTAGGAGTTGAGCACGTTGCTCGAGACGAGGCTGCCAAACGTGAGGTATCCGGCTGTGGCCACGATGGAGTAAAAGGAAAAGATTAGTGCCATTGCCAGGCCAACTGTCTTGGCCTTTCGCACCGGGGTCGGCTCCTCCAGCTCCGCCAGGATGGTGAACGTGTTGTGAACGCAAAAGTAGGCCAGGATGAAGGAGGGCAGCTTGCCAAAGCACTGCGCCGTCGAGCCGAGCAGCACGATCTCCGATGTACACGTTCCCGCTGGATCGTCCAAACACGCCGCCTTGCAAGGCGACGACATGAACACCGAGGATGCGGGCGGGTCGCTGACCCCCTGTCCGCCGCAGGGGTCGAGCAGGGAAGGCGCGACGTAGAAGCTGAGGATCGTGGTCACGGCGAGCATGAGGCAGCTCACCGAGAGGAGCGAGACGATACGCAAAGAGTCCATCGAACGCAGGAAGCAGAGGGGCACATAGTAGCACGCCGACGCGAGGAGAAAGACCTTGCGCGGGATCTGAGGGAAGGTGCTCGTGACATTGTCTGCGGCGACGATCACGTACGTCAGAGCCGCGCCAATCACAAAGACGACGAGGCAGATGGACACAAAGGCCCCCGAGCCCGGCAGCACGGCATTGCACAGGTCAAACATCGTCGGTAGCTCCAGCCCCGCTCGCATGGCTGCGGATTCGAGCAGAAAGATAGCCAGGCAGGCCAGGCAGGCCCCCAAAATACCGAGTGCCCAACCGCCAAACAAGCCAGCCTCCGCGTATGCCCCTGGCAATGCGAGGATCCCGGTCCCCATGCACGTTGCTGCGATGGAGATGATGGCGGAGAACATGGACGCTCCCTTGCCTTGTGCGCCACTCGCAGCGGTCACATCGATGAACTGTGTCGTTCTCCGTGTCATGTTGGTCGTGATTGTGTACCGCTCGTTCTCCGGGATGTGTGCAAATCTCACAGCGGCGCGAACCTTGTTTCCGGCGGCCTTAAGCCGCGGGGGCGGCGCCTTCTCGACGCCGACCACCACCGCGTCGCCCGCCGTCTGCATATCGCCTCGGAGCTAGTGCATGACGGCTCTCGGCTGGCTGGACGGACGAGTGTGATCACGCATGAGGCGTTACCTTCTTTTGTCTGAGTGAGTGTGCCAGCAATCGCCATTCCCGCAAGCGGTCTCTACCCACCCTCTCATGGGGGCCCTACTACTGCTACGCGCGGCGTTAGATAAAAAATCTCTCTCACATGGACATGAAGGGCCGGAGGGAAGAAATCGTGCGCGAATGCCGGGGTCAGTTATCCGACACAGCGTCATCCATGTATCAAACCATATGTGAATGAGTTGACCACTCTACAGCGCAGCATCTTTTATTTATTTTTCTCGCACGCGCCGCCCGGGCCCTTTTTGGGGCTTGGTTAGGGTCATATCGTCGTGGACTCTCACTACTGGGAGTGGTTTGCTATCAAGCCATCTCGAGCTCTCGGTTGCTATTTGCTCCGCTGAACGCGATGGCAAAGGCATTGCCTACCGGCAAAGTAAGGCAGGCTGCGGAGTTTCGAGCGATACCTAAGCTGTGGTACATGCCTTTCTCCCTGAACTCCGCGAAGGCCGCGATGTGCCTGCGCCTCTCTTCCGTGAACGAGGCTGCTGAGCGCGTGGACCTGGGCGTCGAGGGGCAGTACGATTTCGAGTGTGCCCAGCTGAACCCAAACATGACAGTGCCTTTCTTGGAGGTGGAAGATAAAGTCATCACCGACTCCCGGCTGATAGCAGACCACCTCTTCCAGAAGTATCCCGGCGCTGGCGATCGCAAGGCCATCAGTGAGGGCCAGAAGGAATCGGTCATTGCCTTCGTGGACACGATTGCCGAATGGGACGAGGCGGTGTGGTGTTTTACGCATATCGGCGAACAAGCAAGCATGGCAAACATACCCAGGTACATGAAGTTGCACCAGCAAGCCCTATTGGCCAACCAGAAGGGTTCGGAGCTGCCGCTCGTGGACGGCATGAGCATGGAGGACGTCTACTTAAAGAAGATAGCGGGCCTCCGCTACTTTGAGTCGATGCTAGGTTCGGATCCGGGGGCTGAGGACTACCAACGAAATAATGAGATTGTCTATGAGCAGATCTGGGCGAAAGCCAACGAGCTCCTGGCGACACGTCAATCACAAGACTTCTTGTTCGGGGCCGAACTCACGACTGCTGATGCGCTGTTCGTTCCCTTCCTCTACAGGATCGGGTTCGTTGCGAAAGTGAATCTCGAAGAGAACTTCCAGCAGTATCCACGCGTGCGACAGTACTGGCAGCAGGTGCAAGCGACCAAAGAAGCAAAGTGTGTCACAGCCTACGGGAAACAGTTTGTTGCTAAAGTGATGCTGCAAGCTTGCCTCCCATGCAAGATCGCAAGCTTTAAGTGCGGCGGTAGGAAGTACGCGGCGCTACCCGCAGAGATGAATCGGAAGATCGAAGCTTTCATCGACGAGAAACGGAAGGGCCACCTTTCTAAGTAAGCGCGACACTTGTCATGTTGCTGTATGCGCTGTAGGCGTTATAATAAGGAGTTTTGCTGTATGCGCCATTGTAGGCGTTATAATAAGGAGTTCGAAAAGAAAAAAATGCCTTTGCGGGAGGCAGGTACAGTGGGTTGCGGGCATTAAGAAAACGTCGCATTAAGAAACCCTACCAAGCGATTTCCGCAAAAATCTAAGAAACCACGGGGCGCCGCAGGCGCGGCCCCGAGAAAAGGCCAGACACGAGTGTGAACGGGTCCGGAGCCCCAGCTGCAGCTCAAAATTTCTCTTCGCCTGGGCCTGCGGCAGCGCACTTGTCACTTTTCACGGTCTGCGGTGTTCTGAGTGGAGTGGTCAGTGGATGGAGGCGTGTGTGCGTCTTCCCCTCATCCAGAGAGCCGACTCGGCGGCAGACTCTTGGCATCGCCCTCGCGGACCGAGCTTTAACACTCTTCTTACCTAAAAATCCTTCGGGCCGGCGCTCTGGCTTGATTGAGTGCCCCGCCCGGAGCTAAGAAACCACGGCGTGGGGTGGATGAGGGCTGTGGAAAGGCTTAGAAACGGCGGCGTGCCGCGGAATCCTGTTTTCTTAATGCCCGCAACCCACTGTATGAGGTGGCGTGGGGGTGACGAGTTCCTTACGGTCCGACGCGCGACGGCTTCGCCGCCGGGCAGAATACAAAATCTTATTTCTGCCAGAAGGTAGAGCGCGCTTTACAAGAATAACACCTGGTCTTTCCTTCCCAACATTTTGGATTTTTGCGGGGTTCCCTTTGGAAGACGGTACCATACCCCGCAAAAAGTTGGAAGCCAGCAGGAGTGCACGATCGCAAGATCGCTCTGTGCGGCATCAGCACGATCGCTAGATCGCTAGGCACCATGGGCGACGAGGCCCACGCCGCAGACGACGAGACTGAGAACACGTTGTACGCCGTCCTGCTGTGCAACCCTGCGGCCACGCACGAGGAGCTGCGGAGAGCCTACAAGGAGCAGGCGCTGCATTGGCACCCAGACAAGAACGACGACCCCGAGGCGGAGGAGCGCTTCAAGCTCATCAGCACCGCGTGGAGCATCCTCTCGGACGACGCCAAGCGGGCGGCGTACGATGCGAGCCTCGCAAGAGGCGCCGCCGCAGAGCAGGACTACTACAATACCGCCTTTGGCGCGGATTGTAGCCGCGCGTTCGACGCGGACGCGGCGCGGGAGGCGTGGCAGGCCTTCGTGCGCGCCGAGGAGGCGGCGCGGAGGCGGCGGGCGAGGAGGGAGCGCGGCTTGCTGGTTGGCGTGGTGAGCCTTGCGGTCTGGTCGGTGCTCGCCCTGGTCGGTGCGCAACTCGCGTGCGGCGGCGACGCGCTGCTCTTCCCGCGCGCGCTGCAGGCGTCCAACGGCGACGGCGAGCTGGCGCTCGCCAAACTCTCCCTCGACGTGAGCACACTGCGGGCGAGGCTGGTGGCGAGGCACGAGGCGGCGGCGCTGCGCGGGTGGCACCGCTCGCTGCTTGGCTCACGGGCCGGCCTCCTCCTCCGCACGCACACGCCGTACCTCCGCATCGCCATCAACGGCAGCGCCGACCTGCGCCGCGCGCCGGACGTCGGCCGGAGAGGCGGTCGCGGCTGGCTGCTCGTCTCGTCGAGCAGCGGAGAGGACATCTACGGGAGGGAGAGGCGCGTGCGCACAAACACGTTCCTCTACTTCCCAAACGAGGCGCCGCGCCCGTGGCCGCCGCCCGCGGCGCTCTGCGTGCGGCTCCTCCAGTCGGGCAGCATCCGCGAGCGGGGCTGGTGGGACGACATGTCGAGACAGCTCGGGGGCCGGCTGCGCGGCTTTGGGCTCGCGGTGGTCCCGGGCTCGGAGTGCGCTCCCGAGTACGGCCTCCTCACCCTCGCGGGCGGCACGGCCTGCGCGCTCGTCGCGGCGCGGCTCACCGCCCGCGCCGCGACCCGCGGTATGGAGTCTTGAGTCTTGACGTACGAGATACGAGAGCGCGTCGACTCGGCTATGCCTATGGCTTCTCTCGTACTGTTCTGTGGTAGAAGAGGCCTCCGCTACCCGCGGTACTCGTAGTCCTAGACTCGTAAAGTTTCTTTCACACAACACATGGATTATGGTACAGCCCGAGAGAGGTGCAGGCTGGGGTGGTGTCTACAGGCAGAGCTGTGAGACTTCCCGGCAGCAGCGCGTCTCTGGAGTCTGAGAGCGAGCGCGCGCTTCCCTGCAGCAGCGTCTCTGAGTCTGAGAGCGAGCGCGCGCTCTCTGTCTCACAGCCAGGTCACAGCTCTCCGTGGCGGTCACAGATACTTTTCCCATGCAGAGGCGACCGCCGAGTGTGGCCGCAGCCTGTACGCAGACAGCTTTTGCCGCATCATGTCCGCTGGCCGCGGCTCGAGAGGCTCTCGCAACAGGCGCATACCAGACTGCTTGAGCGACAGTGCACCCTTCCTAGCGTTGCACTTGGCGCAGCAGGCAACCATGTTGGTCCACGTGTCCCTCCCGCCGTCGCTCTTCGGAACCACGTGATCAACCGTTCTGGCAACGCCGCCACAGTACTGGCAGACGTACGCGTCGCGCTGTAGGATACGTGGGCGGGTCGAGTTGCCGGTTCGGCGCGGCTTCCCGATGGACTGGTATTGCGTGAGCACTATCACGGCGGGCGCGCGGAGGGAGAGCTTCTCCGAGAAAAGCAGGATGTCGGTGCTCTCCACCTCGTGCGCCTTGTTCTCTCGGAGGAGCAGAGCGCCGCGCACCGGGTGGCAGGCGGAGAGTGGAGAGTAATCTGCGTTGAGGACGAGCGTGCGCAGCCGCTTCGAGGCCAGCGCGGCGGCGGCCTTGGCGGGATGCATCGCAGCTTGCTCGGGTCAATCACCGGCCGCGAAACAACGCGACAAATAAAAAACTTTGCGTAGAATTGCTTCGCCGGTGTGTGGTGGCGGCGTGCCGTCCTCCCATCCCTCCCTTGGCGTGTTTCTTTCTTTCTTTCTTTGCTCTCGCCCGTGCTTTGATAAGAAACAAAGAAAGTTCAGACCAGGCGCGCGCAAAGTACTTACTGCATACTGGAAGAACCTCCCACCATCCCTCCCTTGGGTTGTCCGTTTTCTTTCTTTACTTACTGGAAGAACCCGACCGCCACGCGACGCGTCACTTTCGCACTGCCGGCCTTCACCTCTTGCATGCCGTGCTTCCACTCGACCGCGCCGTGGCCCTGGCGGCCGCGAAAGAGGAGCAGCTCGCCCGCGGCGGCAAAGGGGAAGGGCTGCGTTTCAAACGGTGGGTTGGCGTCGGCCAGGTAGAATTCGCCACCCGTATAGTCGACGCCCGGCTGCGAGAGGAGGAGCAGGGCCTGGAAGTCGCCACACGAGTCGCGGTGCGCGAAGTTGATGCCGCCCAACCCGTACCGCAGCAGCAGGGCCTTGGACTTGTCCAGCGCGTCCTCGCCAGACATGGTCACAGTGACGTCCGTCCCGCCCCTCTTTTCCTTCCTCTTCACCTCGCAAAGCGGGCCTGCATGGTCGATGAGCCATTCCCGCGCCGCGTCCTGGCAGCGCTGCAGGAGGTCTGGCAGCGGCTTCGTCAGATCCGCGTACTCTCCGGCGTACCCGTTCCCTTGTGAGTGATCCAGCCTGCGCGGCGCCTTCTTGTCCGTCTTCTGTGTGGACAGTTGGTGAAGGACGGTGCTCACCTCCGCCGGACTGAGCAGCTGGACCAGCAGCGCGCCATCTCGCAGCAGGTCGGCCGCGTTATCCGGGAAGCGCATGTACAGTGCTTCAAGCGAGGGCGGCGCCGCCACCACATCGGGCGCCGCATCAGACGGAAGCTCCGGCACGATGAAGTCGCCCTTTTTCGGCGGTAAGCAGAGCTTGTCGTACGGAGCTTTGCCGAGTGCCTCTCTTAGCGCACCGCAGACGGTTGGCCGTGTTCCATCGTTCATAGCCACCGGATAGCGTCCGCCGTGCTGCCGCGTGAGGATCTCGACGACGTGCTCGCCCTTCATCTTTTTCTCGCCGCTCCGCCGCAGGTCGCTGGCGTACTCGCGAGTGACGTCCTTGAGGTCGCGCTTCATCATGGGGAGGGGCGCGGATGCCAATATTTCTTTTCTTGAAGGTCGCCGATAGAAGAAAACGCAGGGTGAACCCTAATCCTAACTCTAATCCTAACCTAAAAAGGTGGGGTGCTAGTCTGGGACCCATACGTGGCAGTTCCCTTGCTCCAAGCGCTTGCGCTTCGGCGGTAGTGATCTAGTCACCCGAATACAAAACAAACGCGAGAAGCGCGCCGCCCGCGACAAAACCAAGTACCACACCGTCCGCGGCGGCTACCTGACTGAGTTCTACCCCAAGAGCGTCCCGCTCCCCGAGCCCGAGTCCCTTCCAGCTACCGACGCGATTCTCAATGGCACTTGCAAATCCACGTACCCGCGGCCGCGGGCGCTCGCTGCCATCAAGAATCACAAGGACTGGTTCGCGCACCAGGAGCTCGTCAAGGCGCGGGATGTGCACGTCAAGAACAACCCGTCCCTCGGAGACAGCGCCGTCAACAACCGCGAAGCCGCGCGCTTCGTCTCTGCCTCAACGCCTTTCGCCGGCAAGGCCTTCGATGTCCGTGTCGACGGTACGTACGCCACCGCCCTCTCCTCCGACACCCTCCAGGACGAGCTCCAGCGGAAGCTCGGCCTTTGGCTCTCCGTGGCGCTTCCCACCCTTCGGGTCGCGCTCGAGCGGGGCATGTCAGTCGATTTCTTCGGCGACTACCTTTACAACAAGGCCCACCACCGGCGGCCCCACGACGGCGTCCTCGCCGCCTGGGCGGACGCGATGCGCGCCCCGGCCAACGCACCGGTCGTGCACGGCGACAAGGAGAAACCAGAGCTCACCCGGCAGTACAACGAGGGGTACAAGGTCGACCTCGCGGAACCCCACGCTGGCCCGGGAGGATGCGATGAGGTGAATGAAGTCAAGCTCTGGACGCCCCTCCTCAAGACCTCCTCGGCGGGCGTTGGCAACGCCTCGAGCGGCGGCACGCCCGCCTCCGTTGGCCACTCCTACGCCTTCGGCAACACCGAAGAGAAGGCCCGCCGCCTAAACATGGGCTGCAAGGCGCGCGGGCAACCCGGCCAACCCTTCGACCACAAGAACGGCCACGGCTACGTCAAGGCGCATCGCGGTTTCTACCACGACGCGATCTTTGTCAAGCGCAACAACTTCAACCTGCTGCTCCACGAGACGTTCGGCGGCGGCTTCTCGCCCACCGCCGTTCTCAAGCTGCGCCGCCTCGCGCGCAAAGTCGCGCGCGGCAGCGTCGACCGCACGGCCTACTCGCCCAAGTACTCGCTCTCTTTTATGTCCCACCATGCAGAGCGCATCTCTCTCTCTGTTGTGCGAGGCGTGAACCGCGCCATTCGCTCTCACCTGGCAACCCTGTCTGCACGTCTCGCGCGCGCGTGAACAGGGCTCCAGGCCCCAAATGACGTGTGAGTGTTAGAGTTGTTTGGTATTGCTAAAAATCTCTCTCTCTCCCGAATACCACGTTCGGATCGCTCCTCATCGCAAACCCTGTCAGCAGTTCACCTACGGGTATGTTCGTAAAATACCTACAGAGCCTACATACAATAGGTAGGTAGGTAGAAAGGTGAAGAACAGCCAGGCTCGGACTGGACACCAACGCGGTATGGGTGGACGCTAGACAGATGATGACGACACGCACGAGCGACACACAGACACAAACAAGCTCACAAGACACACAGCCAGCGGGCTGCCACACACCCTGAGTCGGCTTACACATAACTCAAGGCCATATCCTCCCTGTCGCCCCCCCCAGCACTCCACGGTGCCAAGAGAAACAAACAAGGGCACAACGACACAACAGACGACAGGAAGTGACATGCGAGGCTAGAGCAGGCTTGCTCTACCTCCAGCAATCTCTCCGGCCGGCGAGGCACGGACGAGACCGTGTGTGGGGTCTAAGTGAGGTGTCTATGGACGCTCTCCTCACGGGCTAGCTGCCTGCGGCTAGCCCTATCTCGCACTCACGGGCAGTGACAATTCAATGGGTGAGTGTTACAATGAGAGGGGGAATGAGAAAACGAGGCCGGAGGTGCCGTCGCGCGCCAAAGCGCTTGGGTGTGCCTTTATCGATCAACACTTTCGATAGACCGAAAGTAAGATCGTTCGGTGCAGAAACGCCGGCCATGCCCATGTAACGCACTTGTGCTCGATTTTTTGGTTTAGAAGTGTCTCCAAGTCTTCTGGACCCATCGATGGCCGTCGCCTCGACGCCGCTCGTCGCGGCACCATCGTGCCCGGCCTGGGCGAAGCGTCGTCGCGGGTTCCCGCCGCAGTTCGACGGCAAGCCGTGCGAGCCTGCCGAGGAGGAGGACATGTGGCTGTGCAGAGCCGACGGCCGCGCGCGCAGCACCGCCGACCTGAAGCGCCTGGCGACCGCCGCTCGGGTGCGAGCGAAACGAGCAGGAGATGCAGCCGCCGCGAACACGCGCGATCGGCAGGCGCGCGACCAGCGCCGCCGGCAGCGTGAGCAGCACGACCGGCGCGCAGCGCCGGCGGTCGCCAAGACCGTGCGCCCACAACGCGGCCAGTGCGGCTGCCCGGCGCACGCGGTGTGCGGCATGTGCGTCGACCAGGGCAAGCTCGCCGCGGCCGAGCAGGCGGCCATCGACCTGGAGACGCGCTTCCACGCCTCGACGAACGTCGTCATGGACCTGGAGCGGCCCGAGGACGAGACGGCGGCGCTGCTGCAGCGCTGCGTGCACGTCTCCGACGAGACGAAGCGGCGGCTGCTGGGCGAGTGGAGCGACGAGCGCATGGCGCACGCGCTGCCGCTGCACGCATGCGCCTCGTGCGGCGTGCGCGACCCGTCGCTGACGTACACGCGGGTTGACGTGTCAGCGCTGCCGCGCATGTCCGAGGGTGAGTAGAAGTGTGTGGAGGTTTGGTAGGCTGTAGCGTCGTCGCGCGTAAGAAGAGTGGTGAAATTTAGAAAAGGAGTTGCGGTGTTGATCGCCGCGGGAGCCCTCTTATATGCTGTCGGCAGAGCATCTCGAGTGCCCCGTGTGTCTCGAAGTCCGCGACGGGCACATCCACCAGTGCCAAGCAGACCACCTCGTCTGCGCTGAATGCGACCGCGGCCTGACCACGCGGCTGTGCCCGACGTGCCGCGAGCCCCTCCACTCCCTTGCGCAGCCAAACCGCAACCGCTTCGCTGAGCGAATGATCGCGCGGCTTCCGGCGGCATGCGACCACTGCGGCGCGGCGACAACGCGCGGCGACAAGGCCGGCCACGAGCTGGACTGTCCACAGCGGCCGAGGGCGTGTGCTGCCGCCGGCGCCGGGTGCGCCTGGTCGGGGCTGGTGGGAGCGAAGGCGGCGCACGAGGCGCAGTGCGTGTTTGTGATCCACGTGGCGCCGCTGCGAGTCCGTGTCGCCGAGCTCGAGCCGCAGAACCAGCGGCTGCAGGCGCGGGTCGCGGCACTCGAGCCGCAGGTGCGTACGCTGCGCGATGAGAACGAGCGGCTGAGGCGCGCCGCGGAGGGCGGTGGCTTTCGGAGGGTGCGGCAGTGTGTCGACGTGGAAGAGTGCCACCGTCGGGTAGGACAGGTCGGCCCGGAGCAGCGGAGTAGCCGTCGTGGTCGCGGCGAGCAGCGCCGGCCACTCCGGCGCCGCGTCGGCAACATGGGAGCATGTCCACCGCCACTTCGCGGTCGCAGCGCTGTTGTCGCCCGAAACGCCGCATATCCCTCTGGCGGGCCAAAGATCGACTCGCATGTCGATTTTGACTCGACGGCGGCATGGAGGCATCACGTCTCCATGCCGCCGTCAAGTCGGAGCCAGTCTACAGCGACCACAGCGCTCACCGCAGGGATAAGCGAGCTTTTCAGAGTGACACTGGTGGATTTTGCGCGAAATCCCACCCGGTGGATTTGGGCGCTGTGGGCCCCCTACGCCCTACCGAGGGTGTGGGGGGGGCGCACTCTTCGTACTTCGACTTGGGCTATTATCTGCCACACCGGGAGGGCGGCCGCGGCGGTCGGTGGCAGGCGTGGCACAGGCGACAAGTCTTCAAGGGACAAGGCACACAAGGGGTCAAGGGCACGACCGATATTTTTGCTTGCAAAAACGCAACATTTTCTTCGCGGGCGGGGCTCCGCCCCGCACCCCGCCGGGGCTCCGCCCCCCCGGACCCTAGCTGACCGAGGGGAGGGGTCAGGTCCGCAAGCTGGCGAGGGGGCGGGACCGAGGGGGGGGTAAGCTACCGGAGGGGGGGTCAGCTGCCGCTGGCTCGGGACCGCTGAGCGACAGGGGAGTGAGGTACCCCCCCCCACCTCCACCTGGTCAGACCGTCGACCAAGAGGGGGGTCAACGTCATGACTCACCACGACCCGACGAGCCGCCGTCGCTCCCCGCCCGCCCACGGGCGAGTGTATCCGCCACGGCGACCACGTGCGGCCATCCGCGCAGCATCACGGGGCGGCAGTCGATCATGGGCGAGGTCGCCTTTGGCACAGCGTTCTCGAAGGCGCGACGCTCGTCCGCCGCCACCGCGACGTCGTCGCGCGTCAGCTTGCGCAGCACGTCGAGCAGCAGGTCCGGAGGCAGGAGGGCGAGGCCGCCCGCGCCCGTGCCGCGCCGCGCGTGCAGCAGCAGCAGCCACACCACCTCGCGGAAGGCCCGTGGGAAGAAGCCGTGCACGCTCGGGCTCCAGCGCCGCCACTCGTACAGCCGGCGCGGGAAGGAGGGGTCGCGCCCAATCTCGAGCGGCGACGCTTGGAGCGCGCCGGTGGCGTAACGGGCGAGGCGCACCGCCATCGCCTCGCGAGCGCTCGCTAGCGCCACCTCGATGTCCAAGCCGCCACGCGATGGCCTGGGCCGCTTGGCCCATGGCGCGTCGCTGCCAGTAGGCGCGCCGCCCAGCAGATCGACGGGCAGCGCCGCATACGCCGACGTGCTGAGCAGCTGGAGCGGTGTGTTGCCGCTCGCGGAGCGCGCGCTCAGGCTCGCGCCCGCGTCGACCAGCGCGAGGGCGGTCTCCTCGAACGAGGCGGCGCACGCGGCGTGCAGCGCCGTCCGGCCGTCGGGCGTGCTCGCATGTGGGTCGGCGTGCGCGCCGAGCAGCGCGCCGACGCACGCGACGTGGCCATTCTTGGCGGCAAGCGCCAGCGCGGTCTCGCCCGTACGCCGGCGCGCGTCGGGACGCGCGCCGGCCGCGAGCAACGCGCGGCATTGGCGCTCGTCGCCCGCCTCGGCCACGTCCGGCAGCAGCGCCGTCTTCAGATCGCCTTCTCGCGTGGGCAGGAGCGTGTCGGGCTCGCCGCTCACGAATTGAAGCACGACGTTCTCGACCTGCGCACGCGTCATCGACGCCACCTGCTCACGGCTGCTGAAGCCCTGGCGCTCGAACTCGGCCACCAGCGCCGAAATCAGCATGTCGGCGACCGAACCGCCCGCTGCTGGCGCCGCCGGCGCGGCTGTGGGTTGGGCAGAGGGCCCGGCGGGTGCGGTGGGTGTGGCTGCTGCGGGCGCGTCAAGTGTGGTTGTGGCGGCGGGCGCGGCTCCAGGAACGGAGGCAACTGCGTCCAATCCGTGAGTGGAAGCAGCTGATGCGCCCGCCGACGGCACCACCGAGGTCGGCGCAGCAACGGGCGCAGCAGAATGCGATGCGGCTGAGAGCGTGTCGGTGGAGGCCTCTGGCGCTCCAGATGGTGCAACATCCTTGGCTGGCGGGACGCGGAAGAGATTGGTGAACGCGGCGCCGAGGCGCTTCAGCATCTGCTCGTGGCGTGACTGCCTCGTCCGCCACGCCCTGCTTCTGCGCGACACCGTCGGGTTTTGCAGCAACCCTCCAGGAGAATGGCGATGAGATGAACCGCCAAGACCACGAGAATCGCCGGACCAGGTCCGATGGACACAGGCCGCTGGACGCAGCACCCCAAATCGGCTTTTTTAAGCGGGCCGAAAATTCTTTTGCCGGCTCGACCCGCTGCCGGGGTAGTGCCGGCCACACCATGCTCCTCCTCTCGCAGCCCGACGACGTCACTGACGCGGACGGTCTGTGCGTCGCCGGCGACGGCCTGCGTGCCTCGCTCCTCGCGCGGCCGCTGGAGCAGTCGTGGTGCTCCGCTGCCAGTGATGCAGCCAGCCAGCTGGCGGCCGACCCGAATATGTGCGCCGCTGCGAGCCTCTCCACGCTCCGCGCGCTGCGGGTACCTACCGGCACGCTGGTCGTGCTGCGCTGTCTCGGCGGGCCCAGTCGACCCGCTCACCTGCATGCATTGCCTCGCGGCGCTGGCGAGGCGCCGAGGTGGCTGTCTGGGCTGTGCGAGGGCGTCGAGCTGGACCACGCCGAGGACGGTGTGCTCTACCTCTCCCCACTGCTCTGGCGCAACCTTGGCGGCGGCGGCGGCGGCCATCCGATGCCGCCGCTGGCGGTGCTCGTGCGGCGCGGGAGTGCGGACACCTCCCTGCCTCCTGTCGCTCGGAGAGCCGTCGTGCAGCCGGTGGCGTCGCCCACGCCGCAGCAGTACGGCTGGCCGCCGCCGCGCGCTCCCGCCGCCGCCGGTGCCGCCGCTGCCGCCGCACTTCGCCGCCACTTTCGCCAGCCGAGGCTCCTCTGCTCTCCTCTGCTCTGCAGACCCTCTGCAGACGCGTCGTCTCGCGGCCGCCTCCTCACGCCGGCGGCGCGGCGCTGTAGGATCGTCTGCGCGGGAGACGTCTTCGCGGTGCCGACCGGGGCGGGCAGGCGCGGAGGCGGTGCGTCGGGCGGCGGCGACGAGTCCAGCGACTCGAGCAGCGACGACGAGGCTGCTCGCACCCCGGCGCGCGCCTGCCCGCACTAGGGCCTGCGAGAAGAGGGCGAGAAGAGGCCTGCCGCCGCTCTGCCGTTGCAGAGGTTGGACTTGCGCGGCCGCAGGCGATCCTCTTCCTGGTCCTCGAGCTGGACGGGGGCGAAGAGGGCGGCGGGGGCGGCGAGGGCGGCGGGGGCGGCGAGGCAGGGGCGGGCGGACAGCGCAGCGGCGCCCTGCTCGTCGTGCGCGGCGAGACGGCCCTCGTGCAAGAGGCGGGGAGTGCGTCCGTCGCGCCGCCGGCGGGGCTGCTCCGCTTCGTGGCGAGAGCGCCGGCGCTGCCGCAGCACGAGGGGGAGGGCGCCGCGGAGCTGCGCCGCTGCCTCGCCCTCTCGCGGTGGCGGGAGGGGCCGGCGGCGGCGGCGGTGCTGCTTTGCGGGGGCGCAGGCAGCGGCAAGCGGCGCCTTGCCGAGCAGTGGTGTGACGAGGCGGGCTTGGCCCTGGTGCAGCGCTCCGTCGGCTCGCTGCCCGGCTTGCCCATGCACGCCGCGGAGAGCGAGGCGACGGCGACGCGGACCTTGCTCGCCCTCGTCTCCGAGGCGGCGGCGCAGGCGGGCGACACCGGCAAGCGTGCTGCTCCTCCGCCTAGGTGTGATCTGGAGTCTCTTGAGTGACAGCAGGCTGCGACATCGGCAAGCGTGCTGCTCCTCCGCCTAGGTGTGATCTGGAGTCTCTTGAGTGACAGCAGGCTGCGACACCGGCAAGCGTGCTGCTCCTCCGCCTAGGTGTGATCTGGAGTCTCTTGAGTGACAGCAGGCTGCGACACCGGCAAGCGTGCTGCTCCTCCGCCTAGGTGTGATCTGGAGTCTCTTGAGTGACAGCAGGCTGCGACACCGGCAAGCGTGCTGCTCCTCCGCCTAGGTGTGATCTGGAGTCTCTTGAGTGACAGCAGGCTGCGACACCGGCAAGCGTGCTGCTCCTCCGCCTAGGTGTGATCTGGAGTCTCTTGAGTGACAGCAGGCTGCGACATCGACGACCGTGCTGCTCCTCCGCCGGCTCGACCTGCTGCCGGCAGAGGCCGCCGCCGCCGCCGCTTGGGCCCGCGCGATCAGGGCAATGCTGCAGCACGCGCACGCGCCGGCAGGCGGCGGCGGCGGTGGCGGTGGCGGCGGCGGCGGTGGCGGCGGCGGCGGCGTGGTCGTCGTTTGCTCGTGCCGCAATCTCGAGCAGGTGCCTTCACTCATCTGAGGCATCATGTATTGTGCAGATCTGATCAAGCAACTTCGAGCAGGTCCCTCCGCCGGTGCGCGCTTCTTTCCACGTCGTCGCGCGAGCCGCCGCGCCCGGCTCTCTGCCTCCCGCCCTGAGGCTGGCGGGGCTCACGGCTGCGCTGCGGGCGCACGGCGCGCTGCGTGGCAGCGAGCGCACCGGCGCCACGGCCGCCACCGCCACCAGCAACGGATTGGCCACCGCGGGAAACGGCAAGGTGGCGGCGGTGGCGGCGGCGGCGGTGGCCGCGGCGCCGTCGCCAGCGTCTCTCCCTCACCCGATGGAATGCGCGGCGGCGGCGGCGGCGGCAGCTGCGGCGGCGGAGGAGGAGGAGTCGGCCGCGAGTCGGGAGCGCGAGCTGCTCGCCGCTGCGGCCGCGGCGGTGGCCGCCGAGCCGCGGCTTACTCCCCGCGATTGGGCGCTTAGTTGCGGTGAGGCGCAGCTGCTTGCGCCTGCGGGCGCCGCCCTTGGCGCTGCGGAGCTGCGCGAGGCCCTGCGGAGGCGGCTGGCGCGGGAGGGCGACGAGCTCGGGTCGCCAGAGGTTGCGAACGTGCAGTGGGACGACGTGGGCGGGCAGGAGGAGGCGAAGCGCGCCATCCTCGAGACGATCCAGCTGCCGCTGTCCGCGCCGCACCTCTTCGGCGCCGGGCTGCGGCTCCGCTCGGGGGCGCGGGGCTTCTGGCTCTCCGCCCCGCCCGCCCGCCTCCGCTTCACACGCTGCGTGCCTGCGAGTAGGTGCTGCTGCACGGCCCTCCCGGCACGGGCAAGACGCTCCTCGCAAAGGCGGTCGCGTCGCAGTGCGGCCTCCGCTTCCTCTCCGTCAAGGCCTCCTCTTCCGCCTCCTCTTCCGCCCGACACTGCGACTCTCTGCCTCCCCTCGACCCTCCGAACCCCCCCCCTTCCCCCTTCCCCCTTTTCCCACCCGCCCGCACACACCCCTCGTGTCGCAGGGGCCGGAGCTCATCTCGTCGTACGTCGGCGAGAGCGAGCGGCGCGTGCGCGAGCTCTTCTCTCGCGCCGCCGCCGCCGCGCCCTGCGTCCTCTTCTTCGACGAGATCGACGCGCTCGCGCCCGCGCGCGGCGCGGCGGCGGACGCCGGCGGCGTGATGGACCGCATCGTCTCTCAGCTCATGGCGGAGCTCGACGGCGTCCACGCGCGGCGCCACCTCTTCGTGCTCGGCGCCACCAACCGGCCAGACCTGCTCGAGCCGGCACTCCTCTGGCCGTGGGCCGCATCTCCTCCCGAGAGGGTCTGAGACGACCCGAGCCTGCCCGAGAACAGGCGCTCCTCCGGCCGGGCCGGCTCGACGTGCTGGTGCGCGTCGGCCCGCCCTCCACCCCGGCCGAGCAGGCGCAGGTCCTCGCCGCCCTGACGCGCAAGTTCGACCTCTCGCCCGACGTCTCCCTGTCCGACGTCGCCGCCCGCTGCCCCATCGGCCTCTCCGGCGCCGACTACTACGCGCTCTGCGCCGACGCGATGGTGCGCGCCATTCAGGAGGGCCTCCCGGAGGCGCAGGCGGTGGCGGCACAGGACGGCGCCGACGGCAGCGGCAGCGAGAGCGACGACGGCAGCGAGGACGACGAGGCGGACGGGGGCCAGGCGGCGGGCGCGGAGGGGCAAGCGGTCACGCAGGCCGAGTCGGTGCCGCCGCCAGTGGTGGCGGCGCGTCACTTTGACGCGGCGGTGCGGAGCTTGTTGGGCAGCCGCGAGGCGCGACCACGAAACAGCGTGGACGACATGGCTCGACTGCTTCAGGAGGAGATGGCGACACAGAGCTGCTGAGGGGTGTGGAGGTGTGTGAGATCTGAGATGTGCGCCGGGCAACGGCCGTAATTGCGCGTAAAAATCTTCGACCGAGAGGGTTGCACAGAGTATTTCTCCGCGCTATGCACTGCTGAGAGTGCTGTACTGATGTTACGCTGTGTACGAAACTCTACTGTACGTAGTACGACCGAGCCAATTCAGGGACGCAGGACGCTGCGGCCTGCGCGCGGTTCGCACGTCGGCGGCCGCATCCATGATTTCTCGTCCATGTAACGAGAAGGACAGGCGGGTACCGCAAACCAGCGACGGGCGCGCGGGGCTCTCTCAGAAAGTGGCCCACGATGGCTCCTCCTCCGCCGCCGCCGGCTGGTCTGCGGGCGGCGCCTCCTCCGTGCCGGCCGCGATGCTCGCAGGCGGCGAGGTGGGCTTCTCGCTGTCCGTCCACGTGAGCGCCACGCGCAGCTCCTTGCCGCCGCCCCGCGCCTGCAGCGGCCGCCACGGCGCGGCCCCGATGGCGCCGCAAGCCGCGTCCGGCTCGAGCGGCACCGTCGCCCTCCCCACGAGGGAGTGCGGCGCCCAGCGGCGGCGGCGCCAAAAGGAGAGCTCGAGGCTCTGCAGGCTGTGCGCCTCGAAGGAGAGGTCGGCGCATGCCCACGCGTGTACCGGCCGCAGCGCCTCCTTGTCCGTGCAGACCTGGTCCGCGCAGACCACACCGCTCCTGCGCGTGCAACGCGTGCACGGGGTGAGTGGCGCGGCGCCGGGGCGCAGGGCAGGCAGGCGGGCGCGGCGTGCTTGCGGCGGCCGCTCGCGCCGGCCGAAGCGAGGAAGTAGACTGGCCTCCGCTCTCCGCCGCTCGCAAAGAGGCATCGCGCCTCGACAGCGGCGAGCGAGGCGGTGCCGCACCTTCCCCGCGTGAGCGCGACGCCCGCGCCGCCGCACCGCGCCAGCAGCGCCGCCGCCGTCGGCCGCGCCGTTGCGCTGCGGGTGAGAGCGGCGCGCAGCAGCGAGACGAGACCCTCTCTCTGCCCTCCGACGGATGGGAGCGGGCCGAGCGCCTGCTCACACCGCCTCCTGTCAAGGAACGGCCGCGGCCGTGCGCCGCCCTCTCGCAGCGAGCGCCTCGTCGGACAGCTGCTTCGCCGGCTCATAGCCGAGACAGCCCAGCCGCTCCTCGCCCGCCGTGCCGAAGAGGCTGCGCCTGCGGCGGAGGGGCCGCAGGAGGGCGACGGTGGGAGTCTGGCGGCGCGGGCGGAGGCGGCGGAAGAGGGCAATGCGGCGAGGGCAATGCGGCGCCCGAGCAGCAGCGCGTACAGCAGCACTCCGACGGCCCACACGTCAGCCGGCGTGAAGACGGGCTCGCCAGCTCTGAGGTCGTACATCTCGGGCGGGCGGTACTGCGGCGTCGAGGTGCGGTGGATCCGCTCCTCGGCTTCAGACAGCTCCGGCGGACTCGTGACGCCGTCGACGTAGCGGAAGGGTGCGTCCCGGACGGAGCCAAAGTCGCACAGCTTCCAGCCGGTCGCCGAGAGGAGCAGGTTCTCGGGCTTGACGTCGCAGTGCGCCCAGCCGTGCGCGTGCAGGTGCGCGAGCCCGCCGCACACCTGAGTGAAGATGGCGAGGACGCCATCGCCATCGAGCGGGCGCGCCCACGCGCGGCGGCCGACGAGGTACTCGGCGAGGGAGCCCTCCGGACAGAGCTCGAAGAGGAGCAGGAGCTCCTCGCCGGGCCCGACAAAGCTGGGCCGCCGCACGCTACCCACAGTCGCGAGGAGGTGCGGGTGAGGCGGCAGGTCGGCCATCACCGTCGCCTCGAGCAGGCAAGCGTCAGCGTCCGCCTCTGGCAGGCCGCCGAGCCGCACGCGCTTGACGGCGAGGCGGCTGGTACTGCCGTCCGGCAGCCGCTCCGTGGCCGCAAACACGTCCGAGAAGGAGCCCTCGCCGACTTTGCTGCCGAGTAGGACGGTGCCGCCACCGCTGCCCTCGCACTTTTCGCTGCGAGCGGTGAAGGCCGCGCGGAGGTGCCAGCGAGCGGCGTTGAAGCAGTCGGAGATCATTGGCGCGGGAGAGGCAGACGATTGGATGACGTAGAGCTCCCTCTCACGACACTGGGCACGGGAAAAGCGCCACACTGGCACTAACACAGGTACACAACCGGGAGCCTCGGTGCGCAGGAGAGGGTGGACGGCGGTCGGAAGACAGCGTCGGAAGACAGCGTCTAAAAAGAAAAAAACTCCGCTCACAGTAAACCGATCCACCATCGCACGCGCCCCACACCTTCCTCTCGCCAACACATTGGCCCCGCTCTCGCTCTAAACAATGCGTGTCGCGATCCACATCACCACCGGCTCGCGGCAGGTATGAGCACAGCCACAGGAGCGTGGTAAACCGAACCCCCCGCTCCCTACCAGATTGGTTGGACGCGAACCCGGAAGCGAAGCGATCCCGCGCCGAACTCTCGTGGCTTCCCACGTCATGGATACAGTCATGGCACCGATTTATCGTCCGTTGCATTTCCCGTTTGCGAGCCAACGCGTTCTCGAGACGCGCGAGAGAGAGATTTTTAGCAATACCAAACAACTCTAACACTCACACGTCATTTGGGGCCTGGAGCCCTGTTCACGCGCGCGCGAGACGTGCAGACAGGGTTGCCAGGTGAGAGCGAATGGCGCGGTTCACGCCTCGCACAACAGAGAGAGAGATGCGCTCTGCATGGTGGGACATAAAAGAGAGCGAGTATTTGGGCGAGTAGGTAGGATCGATTGTTGTTGTTTGTAGGTAGGCCGTGCGGTCGACGCTGCCGCGCGCGACTTTGCGCGCGAGGCGGCGCAGCTTGAGAACGGCGGTGGGCGAGAAGCCGCCGCCGAACGTCTCGTGGAGCAGCAGGTTGAAGTTGTTGCGCTTTGTTTTGAGACGCGTGTACACGCATCCGAGCCCGCGCCGAGCGCGCGCATGCCATCCATCCTGGTCGCACCCGTCCTTCTCTCGCGATAAGTCCCCTTGGCGGGCGACTTTGAGCGAGCCGATGCTCAGCGGCGCGATTTCGTAACGCGATGCGCTCAGAGCATGGGGGGTAACCAGTTTCGCACGCCCCGCGAGGTCTCTTGGGTCACAGGCCCCCCCCCCCCCCCCCGCCGCCGCGGCGGGCCGACGCGCCGTCTTGCCGGCACTTGGAGCACTTGGAGTGCAGTTATCAACCTCACATTTTGACGGCCTCGCTCGGGCGTTCCATGCTCGCGGCCGTCTCCTCGCACGCTGTGGCGGCGACCGCGACGGCCGGCGCGTGGACCGCCGAGCAGTCAATCTACCGCACCAGGGCTTGGATCGACACTGCGGTCGTCCGGCTAGGCCTCTGCCCGTACGCGGCCAAGCCGTTTCACGGCGACCGCATCCGGTATGCGGTGAGCGACTGCACCAGCGACGAGGCGCTCGTCGCCTCCTTCTTCGAGGAGGGACTGCTGCTGCTCGACTCGCCCGAGGAGGAGCTCGCCACGACGATGCTGATCGCTCCAAAGTATGAGGGCGGGATCGGCGAGTTCTACTCGCTGTACGAGTGGCTCACCGACCTGCTCGAGAGCGAGGAGGAGGAGGTGCTCGCGAACGGAGTCCAGCCCGCCTTCTTCCACCCGGCCTGGTCGTTTGACGGACTGCCGGCCGACTCCCCCATCCACTTTGAGAAGCGTGCGCCCTGCCCCGTCATCAACCTGCTGCGCCGCTCCACCCTCGACCGGACGGTGGAGGCGCGCTGCCTGCGCTCTTCGCTCTCGGCCGCCGCCCCTGCCCACCGCGCCGACATCCCGCCCCGCGTGCGCCCGCGCAGGAGGGCTTACGGCGAGGCGTCATCGTCAACCAGCAGATCTCGGAGCACAACGCGGCGGCGCTGCAGGCGGAGGGCACGCCCGCGCTGAGCAGGCTCTTTGACGACCTCGGCGCGCTACAGCTTCACACGGCCGCGGACGAGGGTGGCGCCGACAGCGGTCCGAGATGAACTCACCATCGACGATCGATATTCTCGTGTACAAGTCGGTGCGTGTTTGTCTGAGTCATCAAGCTCACTTCTACGTTCTAGACCAAAACGCAAAAGAGGTCACACCCTCGTGTAAAATGTGTGGATTGTGTGGTCCCTCGGAGCTTCCGCCTTCCCTCGGCTTGTTCCGGCTTAAAAGGGTGGGCCCTGGGGCGCCTGCGGCTTAAACGGCTTATTAAAACCGGCGGCCTAGGCCGGTTTTAAGAGCTGCTGGGCCGCCGATTCCTTAAACGGTCTTAAACGCTTAAACGGTGCGGGAGAGCTCCCGAGGTCGATGCTCCGGGAGGCTCCCCGGTAGACGCCGGAGGCCGGGAAGCTGGCTACAGTCAGCTGGCACGCGTCCCCTATGCGAGTATGGCTCCCGCCAGTGCACCAGACTTACAGATGTGTCTTCAGTGGCGGGTTCGCGCCTAATAACGGCAGTATTGGAGAAACCGGCGCGGAACCCAGCGACGCGTGCCGGTGAGGCCGATTTTCTTAAACGGACTTAAAAGAGGGACCCCCCGTGCCTGCAATCTCTTAAATGCTATGGCAAGTTAAGCCCCGAGCGATTCTAAGATCAGGTCTGCCACCTCCTCGTTTCTTAAAAGGTCTTAAAAAAATCTCCTCGTTTCTTAAAAGGTCTTAAAAAAATCCGGCCCTCAGAACCCTAGGGGTACCCTAAGGTAGATGCAGATGTAGATGTGGGGAGGCGGCCGCTCTGCCTTGTCCTCTCTCTCGGGTTGTTGCACGAGTATATGGGACAAAAGCGTCGAAAATGTCCCAAAAAAGCGTGTCTCGAGTTTGTGGCAGCTCCGGAGCCAGCGCGGGCTGCCAGGACGCACCGCTCGCGCGTTCGGCGCACTCCCTGGCACCCAGGGAGTGCGCCTAACCGACCAGACCGAATAGGCTCGATGCCGCGCTCGCTGTGGAGCTGCCACAAACTCGCCGCCGAGCGTGCCACCGACGGCGTCCCGGCGGAGGTGATGGAGTGTGAGACCTGAGGCTGCGGAGGTGACGCCTGAGGTACCGGTCCGTGCACAGCGACTCAGCCGGCGACCGCCACGGGCTCAGACGAGACTTGTCGACTCGTTCCAGCTCAGCTTCACCGTGGTCCTCGGGCGTCTGTCGACGTCAGGACCACCCATACAGCTCGCGGGTTTGAGGTCGCAAGAGCCAAGATGGTGGCGTTTGGACATCCCAACCATCACACAAGACAGCCTGTAGGTGATGGCGGGACGGCGCAGTGTTTGTGGCACTCGGCAGTAGGCACCCGCGGCACGGCCCCGCTGTCGGCTCTCGCGGGCTGCGGAACCGGCCCCAGAAGGGGACGGTCCGGGCGAGTGTGGCAGCTCCTGCGCTAGTATGGGCGCCCTCTATTATAGCACTACTGATCCTGGTCATTAGAGCTGCCAGGGATAGCGTCAGGAGCTGGTAGGAGTCAAAGCCCCTCATATTTGAGACATCGTGTCCCATATACTCGTGCAACAACCCTCTCTCTCTCTCTCTCTCTCTCTCTCTCTCTCTCTCTCTCTCTCTCTCTCTCTCTCGCTCTCTCTCTCTCTCTCTCTCTCTCTCTCTCTCTCTCTCTCTCTCTCTCTCTCTCTCTCTCTCTCTCTCTCTCACTCACTCCCTCTCTCTCTCACTCTCTCTCTCTCGAGGTCTCGTGCGTGCCGAGCTAATCCTCAGAGCAACAATAAGCGACTGTACCACGGACGACGGAGCACAGAGCGCAGCAGACAGGACGGCGGCGACGGCGGACATGGCAGAGACGAGTGTGAAACAAAGGGAGGCGGGGATGGAGGGCGGTAGTGACAGGGATGGTGACGGTGACGGTGGCGAGGGAGAGGAAGGGGGTCCATTTAACACCAGACAGCGAGAGGGGCAGGGAGGAAAGGGGGAGAGAGAGCCAACGGCGATGCCACCAGCAGCAGGGGACACGATGAACAGGTAGACAACGGCCAAGGCGATGGCGAGGACGAGGAGACACGGGACGATGGCAGGCGAGACGAGGAGGACGGAGGCGAGGGAAGAGGCAGCGCCGCAGTCGATGATAGTGTCTGACAGAGACCCGTCGCGCTGGGAGGGACACTATCTTGGAGCGCTCTACATCAAGACTGCGAAAGAAGCGCTTCGCGCCGTCGCCATCGGCGCCACCGCCTCCCACATATTCTCGGCCGGGTTGTACCGCTCGACTGAGCTGAGGAAGCCGTTGTTGTGGCCGCCCACAGCGTAGAGCTTGCCGTCGAGCACCGCCGCGGCGTGAGCAATACGCACCGTTGCCATCGGCGCCACCGCCTCCCACCCGTTCGTCGCCGGGTCGTACCGCTCGACTGAGCTGAGGAAGCCGTTGTTGGTGCCACCCACAGCGTAGAGCTTGCCGTCGAGCACCGCCACGGCGTGAGCAAGCCGCGCCGTTGCCATCGGTGCCACCTCCTCCCACCCGTTCGTCGCCGGGTCGTACCGCTCGATCGAGCTGAGGCTGCCGTCGTTGCCGGTTCCGCTCACAGCGTACAGCTTGCCGTCGAGCACCGCGACAGCGTGAGCCATCCGCGCCGACGGCAGCGGCGCCACCGCCTCCCACGAATTGGCAGCCGGATCGTACCGCTCGACCGAGCTGAGGAAGCCGTCGTCGTCGTTGTAGCCTCCCACAGCATACAGCTTGCCGTCGAGCGCCGCCATGGCGTGAAAGTTCCGAGCCTCCGCCATCGGCGCCACTTCCTCCCACGCGTTCGTAGCCAGGTCGTACCGCTCCACCGAGCTGGAAGTTGCGCCGTCCTCCTCACTCTGGCCGCCCACCGCGTAGAGCTTGCCATCGAGTACCGCCATGCGCGCCCTCAGGCGCCCCGACGGCATCGGCGCCACAGCCTCCTCCTCCCACTCACTCGTTGACGGGTCGTACCGCTCCAGCGAGTTGATGTTACTGCCCCCACCGCCGTAGCCGCCGATCACGAGCATGCGCGGCCTCTCGCGCTTCGGCAGCGTCTCCTTCCAGCCGCGGCGCCACGCGCGGCACGTCCCCTTGACGGCGTGATCCTTGGTCGGCAGCTGGGCGAGGATGTGCGGGGCGAGGTCCGGCGAGAGGAGGACCTCGGAGAGCACCCACTCGGGCTGCTCCACGAGCCGTGCGGCGTGCTCCTCCGCCACGCGCATCGCGGCGGCGCTCCAGAGGGGCGCCTGCTCGTCGATGAAGGCGACGAGCTGCTCTGGCGAGAGGCCAGACAGGCGGGCGCCGATGCGGTGCGAGGGCATAGACACATTCTCGGCGCGAGTTCAGTTGCGTGGTGCGGTTTTTCTTTTTCAGAAATCAGCGTATTTTTTTCTTTTTGGTGGCCAGCCGAGGCGCCGAGTTTTCTCAGCGAAAGTCGCTGAGGCGATGTGGGCCCTGACCTTGACGTCGGCCGCGCCGACGCCGCTCGCGTCCGTGCCGCTCTACGGCCAGTACGAGATCACCCTCGCCGGTCCGTCCGAGGCCACCGTGGCGAATCCCTTCGAGGTCGAGCTCAGCGCGACGTTCACGCACACAGAGCCGCCGACGGGCACTCCGATCGTCGTGGGCGGCTTCTACGACGGCGGCGGCACGTACCGCGTGCGCTTCTCGCCGTCGGCGGAGGGCGAGTGGAAGTACACGACGGCGAGCAGCGCGGCGGCGCTCGACGGCAGCGGCGGCGAATTCCACGTGGTGAAGAAGGCGGCGGGCGACCGCGGGCCGGTGTTCTCGAAGGGCTCCGGGCTGTACTATTCCGACTTCACGCCGCACGTGAGCGTCGGCACGACGTGCTACCAGTGGGCTTCGAAGGGCTTCGACATGCAGGCGCAGACGCTCGAGACGCTGAAGGCGTCGCCGTTCAACAAGATCCGCATGACGACGTTCCCGAAGTGGTACATCTTCAACCGCGCGAATCCCGTCGAGACGGGCGCGCCGTACGCGATCTCGCCGGGCTCGGCGGCGGCGAACGCGAGCGCGTGGACGTGCGTCGGCGAGCACTGCCCGTCGCTCTCCGGCAGCTTCGACCTGAAGCGGTTCAACGTGTCGTTCTGGCAGAATTACGACCGGCTGGTCGGCGCGCTGAAGGAGCAGGGCGTGATCGCCGACATCATCCTCTTCCACCCGTACGATGGCGGCCACTGGGGCTTCGACTGCATGGGGGGCACCGACGCCGAGAAGTACGACACGGCGCTCGACAAGTTCTACCTCAGGTACGCCATCGCGCGCCTCGCCTCGAACTCGAACGTGTGGTGGAGCATGGCGAACGAGTGGAGCTTCAACAAGTGCAAAGGACGCGGCGTCAACGAGTCGGCGAAGTCGCCTCACCCGTCGCCGAGCCCGGTGTGGGACGAGCTCTTCGAGACGCTCGCGGCCGCCGACCCGTACGGCCGCCAGGCGTCGATCCACAACGGCAACCTGCTGTACAACCACTCGCGGCCGTGGATCTCTCACGTCTCACTGCAAGGAATGGAGGAGACCACGCCGGCGATCCGTCAGAAGTACGGCAAGCCGACGCTCTGGGACGAGGTGCGCTACGAGGGCAACATCACGAGCTCGTTTGGGTCGCTGAGCGCCGCCGAGGAGGCCGACCGGTTCTGGTGGGGCGCCGCGCTCGGCGTCCACGTCGGGCACTCGGAGACCGTGCTACGCGCAGCCGTCAAGGACGACGATGCGCAGCCGCTGTGGTGGGCCAAGGGCGGCACGCTCGTCGGCGAGTCGCCACCGCGGATCGCCTTCTTCAAGCAGCTGTGGGCGTCGACCGGCGCCGACTTTGGCGCGCTCACGCCGGCGCACGCGAGCTACGGCCAGGCGGGCGACCCGGTGTCCGACACGCTCACGGGCGACAGCGTGCAGCTCGTCAAGTTCCGCCGCCAAGGCACGTGGAACGTGGCGCTGCCCGGCGGCGGCGGCGGCGGCCGCGCGTGGAAGGCGGTCAGCGTCGACTACTGGGGCATGACGACGACTGAGCTGCCGCTGCCGACGTCGGGCGCGACTGTCGCCGTCGACGTGCACACGCTGCCGTTCACGCTGCTCTTCACCAAGTCGGCGGCCACCGCCGCGTGAGCCGCGTCGCAGCCGTCTCTCCTCAGCTACCTCAAGCTCTTGGACGTCTATCCACCTCCCTCCAGCGCCGCCTCGATCGCGCCGCTCACCTGCGCGACGGCGCGCCAAGCTGTGAACAGGCGCGTGCTCTCGTCGCTCGAGACACTCTCGCTGTGAACGGCGTCTCTTCACAGCTCAAGCTGTGAACAGGCACGTGCTCTTGTCGCTGGAGACATTCTCGCTGACGGCGAGATATTGCCGACAATCACGTGCACCCTGAGGAAGGAGGTGGGCGCACCGAATCTGCTTGCGGCCGCGTCGCCACCGCCGCCTCCGTCACCGACGAGACGCTTTGTCATATGGCTTCGCGTACGCGGACTACAACCTGACCTTCTGCTCCTCGACTTTGCACCTGGTACGCCAGCATGCAGAGCACATTGCTCTCCGGCCCTCTCGGGCAGCTCTCCTGCTTTCTCCTAGCCTCCAAGCACCTGCCTGCTTCGAAGAGGCCAGCAGCCCCGGCGACTTTTACACGTCCACGCAGCGCACGCAAGCTGGCGGCGATCGCGTCGATCAGCTCCCTGGGGGGGTTGAGCAGGACGAGCGGCGGTGGAGGAGAGGGCGTGTGGCGGAGAGTCCATCGATGGCCCGGGGCCTTCGCGGCCGTGCGGTGTGAAAAGACAAAGAAAAAGACGGGGTTCGCCCGGAATAGCGGGCAAAGAGAAAGAGAGACCTAAAGACAGTTTCTTTTCAGGCCCAGACCCCAGTGTGCTGCACGTGCATCTCTTCCATACACGTGAGAGACTGGGTGGAAAAAACTCTTTCTAAAAACGATTCTTTTCTCCCGTGGTGTACCTGTGTTAGTGCCAGTGCGCGCCAGTCTCGTGCCCAATGCTTGGAGGATTTTCTTTTCGTCTCACTATATTCAGTCACGTGTCTCCTTCCGTTCTCCGATGCAAAGTGCTGCACGTGTCCTTGGTCGACCAATATGGCCAAAACATCGCGGTCCTGGTTTGCCGCGATCCTTTTCGCAGTCACCGCTGTTCCGCATTTTGCTGCGGGCTCGCTCTCTACGGGTGATGTCATGGCACAGATTCAGGCTGCCGCCGTCGCTACTTTTGCAGCAGCGCCGCTGTCGACCACTACGTGTGGCCCGGGGCAAGCTGGCGAGGAGGGCGACTGCCGCCGCTGCCCAGTCGGAACGTGGAGCGATGCAGTCGGCTTGGCATCACGAGCAGACTGCACTCCTTGCCCGAGCGGATCCTTCTCTGACGTATTGGGTGCGATCAGCAACGACACTTGCACGCTTTGCCGCACGGGCATGTTCTCCAAGGAAGGCGCTGGCTACTGCGAGTTTTGCCCCGCCGGCTCTTCCTCTGAGCCGGGAGCCTCGGAATGCACGCCGTGTGGTCCTGGCCGAGCCGGCGAGGAGGGTGTCTGCCGCCGCTGCCCTGTCGGAACCTGGAGCGACGCAGTCGGTCTGACGTCGCGAGCAGACTGCTCTCCTTGCCCGAGCGGATCCTTCTCGGGCGTGCTCGGAGCGACGAGCGGCGACACTTGCTCCCCGTGTCGCGCTGGCATGTTCTCCAACGAAGGCGCCGGCTTCTGCGAGGCGTGCCCGATAGGCCTCTCGTCTGTCACAGGAGCCTCGGAGTGTACGCCGTGTGGCCCGGGGCAAGCTGGCGAGGAGGGCGACTGCCGCCGCTGCCCAGTCGGAACGTGGAGCGATGCAGTCGGCTTGGCATCACGAGCAGACTGCACTCCTTGCCCGAGCGGATCCTTCTCTGACGTATTGGGTGCGATCAGCAACGACACTTGCACGCTTTGTCGCACGGGCATGTTCTCCAAGGAAGGCGCTGGCTACTGCGAGTTTTGCCCCGCCGGCTCTTCCTCTGAGCCGGGAGCCTCGGAATGCACGCCGTGTGGCCCCGGCCGAGCCGGCGAGGAGGGTGTCTGCCGCCGCTGCCCTGTCGGAACCTGGAGCGACGCAGTCGGTCTGACGTCGCGAGCAGACTGCTCTCCTTGCCCGAGCGGATCCTTCTCGGGCGTGCTCGGAGCGACGAGCGGCAACACTTGCTCCCCGTGTCGCGCTGGCATGTTCTCCAACGAAGGCGCCGGCTTCTGCGAGGCGTGCCCGATAGGCCTCTCGTCTGTCACAGGAGCCTCGGAGTGTACGCCGTGTGGCCCGGGGCAAGCTGGCGAGGAGGGCGACTGCCGCCGCTGCCCAGTCGGAACGTGGAGCGATGCAGTCGGCTTGGCATCACGAGCAGACTGCACTCCTTGCCCGAGCGGATCCTTCTCTGACGTATTGGGTGCGATCAGCAACGACACTTGCACGCTTTGCCGCACGGGCATGTTCTCCAAGGAAGGCGCCGGTGCCTGCAACGCTTGCCCCGCCGGCTCTTCCTCTGAGCCGGGAGCCTCGGAATGCACGCCGTGTGGCCCCGGCCGAGCCGGCGAGGAGGGTGTCTGCCGCCGCTGCCCAGCCGGAACCTGGAGCGACGCAGTTAGCCTGACGTCGCGAGGAGACTGCTCTCCTTGCCCGAGCGGATCCTTCTCGGGCGTGCTCGGAGCGACCAGCTCTTCCATCTGCACCCCCTGCCCTGCTGGCTCATTTGCCGAAGATCGCGGCGCCGGCTTCTGCGAGGCGTGTCCTGCGGGTTCGTGGTCCTTTGGTGGCGCCTCGCAGTGCACCGACCTGCTGCTGCCGTGCGCTGCCATCGGTGCCGCACTTTAGGTCCCACCTCTCACCGGTCCCGCATCGAGTCTGCCGCGCTCCCCTGTAGTAGGCGCGTTGCTCGCCGCTGGGATCTGCTGGTTCGCACGGCGGGCGCAGCGGCATCGGCGACTCGCACTCGCTGCCGCAGTAAGGGAGCGCGACGAGGAGAGACATCGCGTGCGAGCGGCGATCCACGACGCCTCTTCGCTGCGATACCCCTTCTGCGTGATGCCCTTCTCCGCATTCGTCGCCTTTGGCCAACTGGTCCCCTTCGAGGAGGCGCGTGACAAGAAAGTGCTCACTTGCTGCGACACGTGGGACGCGGCGGCGCGCTTCGCCGCCAACCACCCTCTCATCTTCCTCTCGCACCAGTGGCTGTCGTACGTCTCGCCCGACCCGGACAACGCCCACTTTGAGCACATGGTTGGGGCAGTGAAGGCTCTGGCTGCGGAGCGATGCTTCGACGCCACCGACTGCTACATCTGGTGCGACTATCACTCAATCCCTCAGTGTAACGAGGCGACCAAGGCGCTGGCTGTCAGCTCCATTGCACTCTTCGCCGCCTGCACTTCCCACTTCGTGGCGTGTGTGCCCGAGACGCCACACGTCGACACGACTCTTCTTTGCAACCAGGACACCTACTTGAGTCGGGGGTGGTGTCGCCTGGAGCAGTGGGCCTTTATGCTCGCTAACGGCACCGATGCGATGTTCTTCTGCGGCGCCGACTCAGGCGGTGGGCTGCAGCGCATTGAAGACGTCTCCTCCTGGATCGAGAAGAGCATCATGGTTTTCTGTGGGGCGTTCACGAACGATGGCGACAAGGCGTTGCTCGTCGGCGTCGTGCTAGGCCTCTACGGCCTAGCGTATGTCTCCAAGCTGCAGCGGGCCAAGTCGGCCAAGAGCGCCGACGTGCTGTGGGACCAGCTGCAGAAGCATAAGGCGGCCATCTTCCCAGTCCAATTGTTTGGCGACCTCGTCGAGCTTCTCGAGACGGAACTGGCCGATGCAATGGCACAGGTGAGCGGTGAGAGAAGGCGCCAAAGCCACGCCCGGGGGTCGTTGGCCAAGAGCTCAGCTAGCAAGAGCAGCCGCACGACCAGGGCCGCGAGCCGTCTCAAGGCAAGCACGACGGAGTTTGATCTGTTCGACCGCCAGGGCTTCGAGGAGGTGCTGCAGGCGAGCGACCGGCTGTACAAGCAAGCCATGGAATCGCTCGGCAACCGAGCGGGGTCCTATCCAATACCGTAGCATGAGATGTGGGAGATACGCATGTTGGCAGCATCTTGGCATGGAGTCCATGTCACTGTGCATCACGCATGTGCATGTGCACGTGCACGTGCATGCATGTGCGTACTTTTAGCTCTCTCTCTCTGCATGTACACTGGTCGAGTGAGAGGTTGGCCGTGCGTACGAATTCCGGACGTGGGTGTCGTGTTCACTAGCTCCGAGTAGAGGGGGTGTTCTGGCAGTAGATGGGTGCGCCCTCTGTACGGGATTCACAGACCTTGCTTGTTAAGAAAAGAAAAAATTTGCCGCCCGCCCCTCTTGTGAAGGCCCTTGTGATCAACTTAAGTTCACGAAGAAATAACCGTGTCTACCTCGCCTCGATCGATATCGTTGTTCTGGCCGGGGTGCAGTGGCAAACAGGCTGCAAACTCTCCCACTGAAGTGTCTGAACGAGGTCACCTCTGAGCTCTGTGAAGCGTCTGTGCGGAGAACAGAGAGAAGTAGAGTTACTGACAACTGAGTGTGTCCTCTCTCGCGCTCTTTCTAAATAAATAAATAAATAAAAACGGACACCTCTCTACTGTGAGATGGGTAAAAAGGAACAGGTCCCCGCCCGTGCGATCTTTGTGCAGGGTTCTTGGTGGGTGTGGTCGGCGACTAGCCGGGGTCGTCCTCCCGATGGGGGACTAGCACACTAGCCGTCTTCCACATTGGGTCTACCCTGCTCTCGTCTGCGCTAGTTTCTGTTTCGTCATCACCGGTGTCCCTCCTCTTCGTTCTCCTCTTCTTGTATGCTTTGTACATCGCGTCGATTCCTTTTCGAATGAGCACCACCCTGAAGCCCGCCCCCAGCAGCTGTGAACCGCTCAGGTTAAGTCGAAGGAGCATCATCAGTCTCACCCACTTCGCTCGCTGCCCACTGTCTCCGCTCCCTCCCGCTTGAGCCGCCGTCGCGGCCCTCGTTCGTCCCACTGGCTGTATTGGCCCGTCCCTGCGTTGCCTCATGCCTGCGTTATCCCCTATATCCCTGCTGCGTGCTGGTGGTGGTGCGTGGTGTGCCTGGTGCTGGTGGTCCTCGCGCTCAGAGGCTCGCGCTCTCTCTCTCGTCACGCGTGTTTTTTTCGTTTACATGCATGCACCCTTTTCTCTTAACTCTACAACCTGCACAAACGTGTGTCGTTAACGCTCGCAGCAGTCTGAGACACGCGCTACTGCCTGTGTCGCACGCACACGCGGACTCGAGCACGCGCACGCGGACTCTCTCAAGCAAGGCATCCCCTGTCACAGGACACCGGTCGGGACACGCTCCAGACACAACCCGCGGCAGACAACACGGTGCGACCCCAGTACGAGCACCCGGCGACAGAGCAGCCCGCATCGACACCCGGGGCGCTCTCGGACACCAAAGGGGGGGAGGGGTGGCGCGGCTGGCGGCCTCAAGGCGCTGCGAGGCCGGCGGGGCGCTGTCGCCCTCGCGCGGCCTCTTTCTCTCTCTGTCTCTCTGTCTCTCTGTGTGTCTCTCCCCCCCCCACGACGGCACGCCCGCCGCAGCCGCGCCTTCGTCGCCCCGCCTCCCCCCTCTCACGAGGCTGGCACCGCCGGCGGCAGCCTCGCGTCCGAGGGCCTCCAGCCCTCGGAGCTGCCCTTGGCCTCCGGGGGAGGGAGGTCCTGCGCCTGGTCGCCAGACAGGCGGCGGAGGACGGTGACTGGGCCGGACGAGAGGCGCTGCAGGAAGGCGTTCAGCCGCGCGGTCGTCTCTGGGGACGCGTTCGCGAGCAGCGGCGAGTCGGCGACGGCGCGCACGAGCAGCTCGACTCCGTCGGCAGCCTGGCGGAGGGGCGGAGCGGGCGGGCTGTCTCTTGGGGCGGGCGGCGCATCTCTTGGGGGGCGGGGGGGGGGGGGGGCAAGTGGAACTTTGGTGTGGAACGAGCCCCTTCTTGGACGAGTACTCGACGGCCGACATGCGCTTCTTGGGGCCCTCGACGCCCTCGGCCACCTTTTTGACGTCTCCCTTGACCTCGGAAACCTCCTCGGCGAGGATGCCAACCTCCTTGGCCACCTCCGTCATCTTGTCCTTGAGCACCTCGATCTTCTCGACCAGCTCCACCTTGAGCTTGTCGAGATTCGCCTCGATCGACGCCTTGAGCTGGTTGAGCCCGGTCTTCATCTGCTCCGCGGAGACCCAGCCGATCCTGGCGGCGGTGGCGGGAGGCGAAGCGGGTAGAGAAGCGAGGGAGGGTGTGCACGGGACGCTGCACTCCAGCTCCCGCCGCGGATGCGCGCCTGTTCCAGCCGTAAATGTACAGCGCGGCGGCGATGCCGGTGAGCGGAACACCGACGAGAAGCATGACGGTGCGCGAGCCAGCGGCGCCTTGAGCGGCAAGCTGACGGTCGAGCGACGCGACGGCTGCGGAGGTGGCTGCCACCGAAGCCGACAGCTGCGCCGCCTCAGCAGAGCGCGCGGTTGCATCGCCCGAGGAGAAGAGCGACTTGAGCAGCGGAATCGGCGCGCCGAGGTCGCTCAGAAACGAGGAGCCAGACGAGCTGTCAGAGGAGGCGTAGGCGGCCGTTCCCGCGCCGCCGAGGCCCAGCAGCCGAAGGCGGGTTCCCATTCTCGAGGTTTGCTTCAAGCGCTCGATGATGCAGTCGCACCCGCGGCGGCCCGAGTGATCACCGAAAGAATTCTGCAACAATGCCGTCTCACAGCAGACACTGGCACCCGGTCCTCCTCCCCCATCCCTCGTTTGGGCTGTCTGTTTTCTTTCTTTCTTTCTTTAGACACTGGCACGAACCAGCACCACAAAAGGCACAGCAGACAACGGCCCCTTATGGGCCGTCGAAGAGGCCGTCATACTCCTCCGGCCTCGCCCCCCCTTCCCAACCCTCCCCTGGCTCAGGCTCCTCATCCTCGCGGCGCGCAGTGCGCACCCCGCCCCGCGAAGACGAACCCTTCCGCCGGCGTGCCTCGCGGGACTGCCGCCCGCTGCCGCCGCCCTTCCCCCCCTCCGCCGCCCGCGCCTTCTCCGCCGCCCGTGCGGCCTCCTCCACCTCCCCTCCGCCGCTAACAGCGCCTCCCTCCGCGTGACCCCTATGGGCTTGTATCGCGCGCCTTGCGGGGGGGGCGCGGAAAAGAGGAACCTCTTCGCGTCATCGCCATGGTGCTGCAAGCAGCGCCGGGCGACGACGACTTACCGCCTCCCGGTCCCCCTCGGCACACCTCCGCTGCTCAATGTTTGACGACTCGAACCCGTGAAGCTTCCCCGCGCGCCGGTTACCCCGCACACGGGTCAGCCTGCCAGCCACAAATCCACGCAAGCGTGGTCCGCGCGCATGGCATACAGGCGTCCGCCAGACGGCGCAGAGGCTAGGCGACCGGGGAAGGACTAGCTCAAGGGCAACACAGCGTCACCAGCCGTTGGCGCGCAGAACGAGTCAGCGGCCCCCGGTTGGGACGAGTGCGCGACGCGGACGAACCGCTCAATGTGGCCGGCAGCTCGCGCTGCCGGCGGGGTTGGTTGGGGAGAACCGGCACGGGGAAGGCCGGCCTCCCCGGAGGGGTCGCCCCCTGGAGGGGCCCCAAAGGGCCCCCCGGGGGGGCGGGGGCCCCCGCCCCGAGGGGCGGGGGCGGGTCCTTCCGTGTCGCTCCCGTCGTCGGGATTGTCCGTCGGGATGGTGTTGTCCGCCCACTCGGTAGCGTTTGAGCCTCTGTCACCTTGCCTGCCGCGAGCAGCTAGCTCGTCGACGTAGTCGTTCCATTTGAGTTGCCGCTGTGACCCGCCACATGCCTCCACGTCACGGTGTGTTTGGCGCGAAGGCGTCGCCAGAGGGAACGAAGGCGTTCCGCTAGCTGTCTGTTCGTTTTGGGGGTCACCCTCCCCATCATGCACGCCGCCGCGTACTCGCTATCAACACCTTTGGGTGTCACACTGCAATGAATTATAAGAGGGGAAATTGGCGTAAGCGTCTGAAAGCAGTCTTGGGTGGTGCCGAGCTGGATGACCGGCCAATCCATAGGTTTTGGACCTTTTTTCAGTGTATGTAGCTCTTACGTACATTCCTTTTTTGTGTCCAAAAATAATGACTTTTTCAGTGTACGTACTTATAGCTTACTGGGAGAAAAGAGAGAGGGGGGTTGTGTTCTCTAGGCCCCTAAGGGCCCTACGCGCGGCGTGAGAGCTCGGAAGCGAGCTTTGCACGGCGATCGAGGATGGCACGGTTTACCCCCTTCACCGAAGCGATGGAGATGCGTTCCGCGTGGTGTGACACAAATGAGAGGCGGGAGTGGGGAGGGTACGCGGTGCGGTCAACGCCCGAGCGTTGAGCCTTGCGCGCAAGGCGGTTGATCTTTGCAACTGCTCTCTCTCAGTGTATGTAGCTCTTACGTACATTCCCGTAGGAGACTCTGCTGACAGGGTTTGCGATGAGGAGCGACCCGAAGCGATAAAAGACAATACGACTACCGAAGGAAATCAATGCCAATCAATGAAAAGCCGACGGCCGGACGCAAAGGACGGACGACTTAGCCCCCCGGCGTCGGCCTCGTCTCCAACTCGGTGCGCGGCCCTTGTGATGGATCAGTGTAGCACTAGCCTATCTCGCGGGTCCAACAGCGCAGCCGCCGTTAGATCCAACCAGGTCGCCCTTGTCCTGCAGCAGCTGGCCGAGGTTGTTGATCGAGTTGAGTGTGTCCGGGTGCCGGTCGCCGAGCGTCTCTCGCCTCGCCTCCAGCGCCTCGCGGTGCAGCGCCTCCGCGCCAACCAGGTCGCCCTTGTCCTGCAGCAGCTGGCCGAGGTTGTTGATCGAGTTGAGTGTGTCCGGGTGCCGGTCCGAGCGTCTCTCGCTTTGCCTCCAGCGCCTCGCGGTACAGCGCCGTCCAGGTCGCCCTTCTTCTTCAGAAGCGCGCCGAGGTTGTTGTCTTGTTGATCGAGGCGAGCGTGCTCGGGTGCCAAACGCCGAGCGTCTCTCGCCTCGCCTCCAGCGCCTCGCGTAGCAGCGCCTCCGCGCCGTCCAGGTCGCCCTTGTTCATCAGCAGATTGCCGAGGTTATTGATCGAGCGGAGCGTGTCCTGGTGCCGGTCGCCGAGCGTCTCTCGCTTTGCCTCCAGCGCCTCGCGGTGCAGCGCCTCCGCGCCATCCAGGTCGCCCTTGTCCTGCAGCAGCTGGCCGAGGTTGTTGATCGAGATGAGCGTGTCCGTGTGCCGGTCCCCGAGCGTCTCTCGCCTCGCCTTCAGCGCCTCGCGGAACAGCGCCTCCGCGCCGTCCAGGTCGCCCTGACTCTTCAGCAGCGCACCGAGCTGGTTGATCAGCGCCGACGTCGCCCTCTCCGCCGCCTCCACCCGCTCCAGCGCCGCCCTCCCCTGCCCCGCCAGAGCCCCACGCAGCAACCCAAACACAGCCTTGTTGCACTCGGTCAGGCCAACCTCCCGCTCCAGCTCGCCCAGGATCTGCTCCGTGTCCTTCGGGTTGCGGCACTCCGCCTTGCGCACATCCGTACGGCTCTACGGGACCCCGCGGGCCTCGTGTCGACTGCGTGTCGATCTCGTGGATTCGTGTGCCCCCTCACCGCTCTGGAGAGAGCTATACGCCGCTTTACTCTTTAGCCTACTAGCAGACCTGGCGCGCACGCGCGCCGTATGCGATCTTTGTGCAGGGTACTTTGTGGGGACAAAGCTGGCAGGTATAGCCCCAGCCACTCCGCTGTGAACACCGAGGGGCCTCGGTCTTGCTCTGTTCACACCGAGTAGCTGGGAGTGGCTGCGGCTATAGCAGACAGGGGACAAAGGAGTTTTGATCTACACATATCACTCTGAATCATCCCAGAGTGGTTCAATAACATGCCGCCTCTCGAGCGGAGCACTATCGCCACGTGCGCGGAAGTTGCGCTTGTAGTCGTCCCACTGCTCATTCTGCTCCTCAAGGCTGCCGGTGAGCTCCTTGCGTGTGTGCTCCCTATACCACCGCGCGCGGTGCCGATGATATGCTTTGTGCCCGTGCTCACCGAGGTCGTACTCGGAGCGCTCCGGTGGTTTGCCCTCGGTGACAGCCACGTCGGCTGGCGGATCGCGCGCCCACTCCGCAGCTGCTGCTGCTGCGGCGGCGGCGGCGGCGCCTTGACCTGGCGTGGCGACGGCACCTTGACCTGGGGGCTGTTTCGACTGCGCGCTTCAGAGTCGCATTCCAGGCCAGCACGGCGCAGCGCCCGCTCGTGTGCTCGCAACATCCTCCCACTTGGGCTCTGATCCACAAGTGCGGGAGACGCGGACACTTCTTGCTGCACGCGTCGACACGTGCTGCTGCTGCCGCCGCCGCCGCCGCCGCCGCTGCCGCCGCCGCCGCCGCCGTGTCGAGTCGGTCGCTGCTGCGGCGACGCGTGCAATGCGCTCGCCGTCATGGTGCAGAGCCGCGTTGCATTTGGCAGTTCGCGAGAAAGGCCGACACAACTCTCGCGAAAGGCGGCGGCCCGTACGACGCGGAGAAATTCTTCATCGATTCCATTCTTCCTTCCAAAAAGAAACGACACGGTGCACGCTGGCCGAGCCGCTGGCCAGCGGTGGCAGCCCGCTGGCAGGCGGCGGAGTTCGCGAGTAGATGCCACGCAAACAACGCGGCCGGCGGTCCGATGCGCAGCATGCGCGGCAGCATTGGGTGCCGCCACGCTGGTCACCTGCCACTGCTGCCACCGCCGCCACTGCCGCTGTCGCTGCAGCGAGCTCTGATTCAGCGAAGCTCAACATTACCCCGGCAGACGTGCAGTGGCGTCGAGAGCACTGCACGCCGCTTCCGCGCTGGCCGCCTTCGCGGTTCTCGCACGATCAGGACTGGGTAACGCTGGCCGATGGCATGGCCGTTGCCGACGACACTCTCTGGCGGTGGGCGGGCGGCGTGGAGGGCGGGCTTGTCAACCAGCGGACTGGCGGGCACATCAACTACCGAGGCGAGGGCCTCGTGCGCGGCCACGGCGACAAGCCGCCGTTCCGTGCGGCCGCAGCGGGGCGTGGCACCCGGCTGCACCGCGTGCCAATCCGCGCTGACGCCCACCGCCAGGACGCTCCGCCGTGCGAGCGGCCGCCGGCGACGTTTGCGCTGCGCTTTGTCTCGAGCAGCACCTTTCTCGAGGCGCCCTGCGCGCGAGGAGATGCGCCTGCCCCGCCGCCTCCCAGCCCGCCGCCTCCCAGCCCGCCGCCTCCCAGCCCGCCGCCTCCCAGCCCGCCGCCTCCCAGCCCGCCGCCTCCCAGCCCGCCGCCTCCCAGCCCGCCGCCTCCCAGCCCGCCGCCTCCCAGCCCGCCGCCTCCCGACCTGCAGGTTGACGACGGGGACGGGACCGTCGTCGCACGCTCGCGCGAGTGCTCCGACCTGCCGGCCTGCCTCTGGGACCTCGAGCCGCAGGCGCACCAGCACCTCTGCCACCCCTTGCCCTCCTCTCCCTTGCCCTCCTCTCCCTTGCCCTCCTCGCCCCGGCCCTCCTCGCCCCGGCCCTCCTCGCCCCGGCCCTCCTCTCCCCGGCCCTCCTCTCGCCTGCCCTCTGTGCCCTCCTCTCCCCCTCATCCGCCCGCCCGCCGCTCGAGCAGCCGCCGCCCTTTGCCGATCGACC